GGAGAGAGGAAGAAGAAGAGAGTTTTTTTATTTTTTTATTTTTTATTTTTATAGATTAAATTTTCCATTTTGTATAGTTTATTTTTAAAAGAAATGATTTTTTTAATAATTTGACCAAATTGCCCCTCAACATGTAACGAAAGTTACTCTAATTTGACAAAAATGAGAGATTGTCCTTGAATTGCTTCAAATTGAAACTACAGGGACAAAATTGACAAAATTGAAACAACATGGATCAAAGTGGTAAAAGTGGCAAACTACAGGGACCAAAAATGACTTTTTGCCAAAAATAAAAACTTACAAAAAAGACACCCATTATCCGAAAAATAATCTTAGCAACCCCTCCTCCCCCTCCCATTCTCTCCAACCACCTTGTCGCAACCACATTTCCCCCCTCCCCCTCTCCACCCTTGTAGCCCATCCTTTCTCTACTCCCTATCTCTTTCTTCTTCGATCCCTACAAAATAAATTGGAGTAAATAGACCCCCCTTGAGGGGTGTTGGCCATAGGCCCTTCGATGCCTAAGTTAGTTTGATTGGATCTTGATAAAGATACGACAATAGCTAAAGTGAATGGAGTTTTCTCTCACGGGGATAGCCGAGTGGCCTTAGCCATGTGTGGTGGAACTTAGCTGTGTGAGGAGAGAGAGATAAGAGGGGCGGAGAGAGAGAGAGAGAGAGAGAGAGAGAGAGAGAGAGAGAGAGAGAAGAGAGTGGGGGCGGAGGGTGGGGGTTGGTGGTGGAACTAATGAAACAGGTCATGTGGTTAAAGAGACCCACTATTCTTAATGGGTGAAACGGGTCATGTTGTGTCATTGTTTTAACTAGTCATGTCAAGTCAACCCTTTAAGAAAGCAGGTTGACATGAATACGATAAACACGACCCGTTTGCCAGGTCTAATTACATGCCTAAGTCACATATGTGACAATACCGTCAAACCATACACCATTTCAAAATGTAAAGGCTTTTTCATTCCAGCAGCTACAAATGGGCATGGGCTGCTGTAAAGAGAAAATGGATGAAGTTGCCTTGTGCATGAGTTCAAGAATCAGCCCCAAGAGTGCTTTGAAATTTTCGTGGAGCCTTAGGCCCCGTTTGGGATTGCTTTTTTCGCCGAAAACCTGCTTCACTTTAAAGTTAAGCAGTTTAAGGTGTTTGGTAAAAATAAAATATTCCGATTATTTTAAAAGCAATGGCCTTTTGACAGTAGCTTTTAAAAGCAGGCTTTGGGTTGCTTTTCAAAGCTGCTTTCAAAAGAAGCAGAGATGAACTTTTAATGAATTTTTTTAATTCCCAAAATAGCATCATTCATTTTAAGAAATGACACCACATCCAACTCCACCACTTGCACCACCACATTCACTACCTCCACAACCACCGCCACCACCGCCACCACCACATCCTGCTCCTCCTCATCCTCCGCCGCTACCACCACAACCGCCATCTCCTCCACCACCTCCATCACCACCTCCTCCTCCTCCACCACCACCACATCCTCATCCTCCTCATCCTCCGTCTCTACCACCACAACCACCACCTCCTCCACCACTTCCACCACCACCATCACCACCACCACCTCCAAAACCTCCACATCCACCACCACCACCACCACCACCACCACCACCACCATCCCCACCATCACCACTACCACAACCACCAACTCCACCTTCATCACCACCACCACCTCCACTCCATCACCACCACTACCACCACATGATTAGTACATAACACTTTAAACATCATGTCTATTTTAGTCATTATTCACAATTATAACAATTTTATATTAAAATTTACCAAACGGTTTTGACACTGCTTTTTGTTCTAACAGCACTTTAAAAATATAGATTATTATAAATAAACCCAATCCTAGACATGTATTTATAAAAAAACCCACGCACTATTTAAACATAGAAACACACCCAAAATCAACCCCAAAATCAACAATTGTATATTTTTTGGGTGTGTTTATAAATGGGGTTTGAGTGTGTGTAATGATGGATTTTGGGTGTGTTTATAAAGTGTTTTGGGTGTGTTGAGGCCCAAAAAATTCATGGTTGGGCCCGGATGAATTCATAGCCCAAAAGCGATATATTATCGAGAAAAGACTCGATTTGGAGCACGCAAAAATCTGCCATGCACGAGTTATACTTTGCATGCCATGCCAAATAAAAATCCATCATGCTAGAAAATAAGATTAAAAGCATAAAATGCATTTAGCTCTACAAATCTATGCTAATTATCTTATCAAGCGTCGTAATTAAAAGCATGCCAAGCAACATGCCATGCCAAGTGGGAAATCATTATTTCACACCCAATTACACTGCAAGCTTAAGTGGGCCCAAGCCACTCAAATGCCCGGGGCTTCTTGAGTGGGTTGTGGTATGGATGGTAACAAGTTATCATGGGGCCCATCGATGGGCCAAGAAATGGAAGTCTCGGGTCGCTTGGGGGCCTCGAGACTCAAGCCCATTTTCTTAGGCCCAAACATGGGTAAGCACAAGAAAGGAGATGGACCATTGCCTCAACCAAAATAGCCCATTAATCCAATAAACTAGTCAAAAAATAAGCCCATTGACCCAATTAGAATAAACTAGCCAAAA